CTTGTAGACCAGGCTGGCCTCGAACTCACAAAGATCTGCCTGCCTCTGCCTCCCGAGTGCTGGGATTAAAGGCATGCGCCACCACCGCCCGGCTTTACATAGTTTCTTTGTTGTATCATGAGCAAGTTTTATTCCTGAAGCTGCTCTCCTTTCTGTGAGGGAGACTACAACTCTTTCAGAAGAACTAGAGATGGAGAAATAACCAGAATTTGAATATTCACATAACTGTGGGGGATTCTAGGAAAGAACATACAACAGTATGTTTTTAATGTGCAGCAAGTGTTTCTCCCAAGAGGACCTTTCAAAGCAAGATTCAAAATTATAAGAATTAAGTCTTGGTTGCACACACATTTAATCCCAACATGGTGGATCTCTGAGGCCAGTATGGTCTCCATAGCAACTTTAGGACCACCAAAGCTACATAATAGAGAAAAAAAATTACAGGTTTTCTTCTCTGACTCCTTGTCCATTGCAGGTTATCCTGTAACAATTGTCTCCAGTGTTAGAGTAGCAAGAACAAAGGCTGGGAATGCACCTCGTTAGATAAGAATGCTGATTTAGCTGGCTTACTTGCCTCTAGTCCCGCACTTGGCAGCTGAAGGCAGAATGGTCAGAAGATCAAGGTCATCTTTCTGTTCTTATTTGGCCAGTCTTGGCCATGGAGAGACTGACCCCAAAAAAAAAAAAAAATTCCCTGTGTTCCTGAAGGTGCCTACAACTGTTTCTTTGCTTTCCAGTAGGAAACATTCATTGACAAATATAGTTGTCCCCCCATCCCCATTAGAGGTCAATATTGAAGTAGTTAGGTGTGGAGTTTTGTTGTGTTTTGGCGGGGGCTTTGAACAGTTTCAGTGTGTAGTCCTGGCTGTCCTGGAACTCACTTTGTAGACCAGAATGGCCTCATTGACTTGCCTCTCCGTTTTTCAGAAAACTTCTTTGAGAAGTTTAAGGAGGGTGTGACATGGATGAAATCTTTAGTCATTTTGAAAACAGGGAGTTTAGAGTAAAAGGTAAAGTTTTTTGGGTTTTAATTTTGTTTTGTTGAGGCAGATTCTCATGTAGCCCAGACAGGTCTTGAACTCACAGTGTGTTCAAGGATGACCTGATCTTACTGCTTCTAGCTGCCAAATCCTGGGATCACTAAAAGTGAAGTTTTTGGAGGGGTGGGGAGGGTGGCTCCAAGATAAGATTTCTCTGTGTGGTTGTCCTGCCTGTCCTGGAACTTGCTCTGGCCTTGAACTCACAGAGCTCCCCTTGCTCTGCCTCACGGGTGCTAGGATTAAAAGGTATGCACCACCTTGGTAAAAGTGAAGTTTTCTGGTTGGGAGTAGGGTGGGGTGGGGTATTTTTTTTTTTTTTTTTTTTTGGTTTT